AGCAATGTCTCTTTTCGGTCAAAATATCAGAAACTTCGAAGTCTTCCTTTACAATTGATCTCAAAGGCCTGGGAGTTGGTGGTTGTTTTTGAAAGCTCTTCTGTGGCATGCTCAGCAATGGAAGTGCTCCAAACTTCGGCCTTTTCTTTGTCATTTTCTCTGATACGGCTGAGAGATAAAGTTTAAGATATATGTTAACGTTTTTATCAAAAATTCAACTGAGTTACATAGTAGATTTCGCATGTTTTGGCGGTCCGTTTACTAATAAGCACACCGCTAAATCGCTGGAATTATACACACACACTTACTTATTTCGATGTCATTTTCATGAAAATGCTTTTCACAAGTAAATACTTTGTCATTTTCGATCTGTCGTTGGAAGTTACTGTCCGTAACTCTGTATTTCTTGAGCTCATGGAGCCAATCTTCGCGCCATTTGCGATATGCTTCGTTCCGAGGTGCTGGAAGCTTCCATATTCCAATTCCCTTGGTTTTACGGCAAGTTCCACAGCCAACTACGGAACAGTTATCTCCAGGCATGTTTTTGAGTTAAAATCTATGCATTTTCAGTCAAGCAAACAGTAATAAAAATAATTTAAAGTCAAAACATTTCTCTATCAACCATTTTCGAACAACGCTGCATTGTACTGTGATGCACGGTAGTCGTGACGTCACGCACCAAAAAGTTGAACAATAACCTACCCCTTTGAAGTTCGCCGGCCTTCCTAACCAGTCCCCTCGATTAACTATGATCAAACAGAAATATACCATTTTGAGCTTATTCGATTAGTGTGCCGTGAAAAGAAGTGGTTTAAAAGCAAACTTATCCAACAACTGAAACAATGTTTAAACTGTGTAGCAGACCGGCTAGAGGGATGTCGTGAAAGGGACATGCGGGCGTGAAACTCAAAGCGTGTAGAGAGGAGTACCCGCACCAGCTTTACTCTTACAACTCGCACCAATTAATCAGGTGTTTTGTGTGAATGGTTTTGTAAAAAGTATTCTGTAATAAGTACATCGACACGAAATATGGCTATGATTAGCGATAATGGCCGCTGCTGATGATGTTTACAATGTTGATGATGACAATGACGATTAATTTGAGGACCGTTCTCTATACTAGGTTGTCCAAGCGTCAGCTGCAACAACCTAAAAAAAAACGGCTAAGCTGCTCAAAGGGATGGCGAGATAGTTTTTTTTTCTAACGGACATATACAACTAGCCTATTCGTTACATTCTGTAGCTGTCTTTCCCACTACCTTTGCGCCTGAGTTATTCAGTAATAAGAGCTCTTCAATCCATAAAAAACTGCGTCAGTCTGAAGCTCTCCTGGGTCAATATATAGCCCAACCGTCATTCTACAAATTATATACCAGATAACTTGAGGTTATTAGCTGATAAGATTTACACATAGAGGGTACAACTTATGTAGGATAAGATATGTTTTTTTTTTGTTTTGTTTTCTAGAATCACGTTGATACATATTTTCGCTGTTTATAGGTCACGCCCTCGGTTTTTATCACGAGCAGTCCAAACCTGACAGAGATGAATATGTCACCATTTACCGACAAAACATTGTACGAGGTACTCTTGCCCTACAATTTCAAATACATTCTCCATGGTTTGAACGTGGTGGTAATAGTTCAACTCGACTCTAAGGATGACTTCCGCTCAGGTTGTCAAAACGTCAGTCACCACCACGACTACAGTCCTTGTCACCCACGATCATCCCCGTATTACTGTTATAAAATGTTCAGCATTTTCGATGCGGTGTTATTTCAGCGACGGCATTTAATACTGAAGGCGACGTTTACTTCCGAATCATATTTCTGAAATCACGAAAAACATTTACTGTAAAATAATTTTTTAAATATAATTTCAGTGAGAAACATCGTTAAAGTTCCGATGACTCACTTTTTTTCCCGAGATATAATCAGAAGCGTTCGGCTTGTGACCTTAATTTTCAACAAGTGTATGACGTGAAGGATGGTCGAAGTACCAAGTTTTACCTCGCTTTTGTTTTCTTCATAACTGTGCGAACGCAGCCGCATATTCTGGGGCAGCGTCCTAAGATATTGTTCATTCTGCTTCCGTCTCTGGCGTTTGATCGAGGGCGGAGGGCGGAGGGCGGCTTTGGATTTAAAGTGGCGTTCAAATGAGTAAATATGGTATGCCATATACATCTGTCCCTGTCCCATAAAGACACTGGACACTTTCAAGACTGCTTTTAAAACTGCTTTTTTTTTTTTAATTTAGCCTTCAAATATATTTTTTCTTTCATGTCTTATCTTTTAGCTATTTTAATGACTTTGATTGTACACGGATTTGTAGTATTTAATAGTTTATGTTTTTAGTTGTTTTTAACATAACTTTACTTTGACAATATTGTGAAGCGCAACTGAATATATCCATATAGAGGTCTGCGCTATCTTAATGTAAAAGTTATCATTGTTATTTCTTCTAACCAAACTAAACTACTGCAAATACCTGCTTTAATCATAATGCACTTTCGCAGTCAAATTTTCATTTTTTTTATTATGATCATAATGCACTTTCGCAGTCAGATTCTCATTTTTCCATACATAGGTATGGAATTTAATTTCAACAAATATAGTAGATCGACGATCGATTCCTTGGGAACACCATACGATTATGGAAGTGTCATGCACTATGATTCGAGAGCCTTCAGTAGAAATGGACTGCCAACTATTGTTGCAAAGAAATCACGGGTTTGTTGGAAGAAAATTTGTTTCTCTCAATAACTGGTTATGGGTCATGAAATTCGGTTATAGTTTGCCACACCTGCTGGTTGTATTAATTAACTGGTTATCAACTTATAGTTGTGATTAAATAAAACTGGTCAGAGACTAGCTGTAAACGTAAAAATCTTTCCTTCATCAACTAACAGTACTTAAACGCGCTAGATTTAATTTCTGTTCGATAAAAAATACCTATGCACAATGCAAAATACAAATGTTTATTGGTGCAAAAAACTTGAAAAACATCTTACAGGTCTTAAATTAACCTCAGATCCGTATCAAACTCTGAACTTTTCAATGTATCTATGAATCAAATACAAGAAAAGCCCGGCCGGTGTCCTGATCACCTGACAACAATTTCTTCAATTTGAGCGGCTCAGCTTTCTTTCCACCTGGCTTGGCTGAGTGTTTCATCTCTGCTACGGTTCTTTTCGGGCTTTGATTTAGACGCCGAGATTTTAATTTGTCCAACCAAATACAGACATTATCATATAGTATTTTCATTTTACTGATCACGATTCATATCGAGAATGGCAATAATGGCCGATAAAAGTCTGCGGATGAATCGACTTGCGTACTATTTTCGAATTGGGTCGGTCCTAATTCGAATCATTTGAATCAAGTTCGACTGGTGAACTGTATGGTTTGTATAGCTTGAATAAAATCTCAAGGACTTCGTTCAATTTGAAGACTGAAATTAGTAAAGCTTGTATTTTTGTCTATAGCCAAAACACACGCATCTTCAGACGTTTAAATAATGTTCTTTTAAGCACCATTTCCAAGTAATACACAGACCGTTTGAATGTCTGTAATTTCACGAAAACCTTTATTTGTTTTGATTTGAAGCGAAGTCTGTTCTATAAAGAGCTGACAGAATTCATCCTCCAATCTCCAATAAGTTACTTGATCTTCAAGGCTGCATAGTCTCAAAATCAGCTGCAAAAGCTGGTTTTTTCTTTTTTTGGCAGGTAACGCTTGGAAACTGCCGAGGCCTGAGCAAAATTGATATTCTTCAGATTAAATTGCTGTACAAATGTCAAGGAGGCGGCGGCAGACCAGACCCTCCCCTCCCTCCTCCTACGAATAAACCTCCAGGTTGGTGTATATAAGTAGAGCTGTTATCTTTGGACAAAATATATGTACAGCTTAAGGTCAAAAGAACGCGTCTTAATTACATCCTTTATTTCCATTATTTTCTTTTGTCCGAAATGTGCTGATATATAACCTAGACATTTTATGAAACTTTACAGCAGGAGCCCTAGCTCCCTGCAACTTACCTGTGTATGACGTACAGCAGGCAAAGAAATCACTTTGATTATTATTATTTTTAATTTTAGGTGAATGTCGCGACACTGGAAAGTACTGCAGCTACCACGTTCCACGTGGAGACTGCAAAAAAATGGAGATTGTTAGGAGGATATGTAAAAAAAGCTGCGGTCTGTGTCCAGAAGGTAATATTCTAAGAAAAATAGAAGATACACTCTGTGTTTGAAACTTACTACGTATCGCACTGGGAAGCACGCTAAGAGTGAACCTTTTTCTCGCTCGATTTCTTTTCTAACAAATCTTTAATAAACGGTATCCTTAATGTTATCTCTTTAACGTTTCAGGAACTCCACCACCGAACACCGATCCGCCATCTCCACCACCACCAGTTACCGACGCACCTCCTCTCCCAAGCACAGAGATGCCACCTTCCCCCCTCCACCAGATACAGATATGCCACCCACCCAACCCCCAGGTCTGTATACAGTAGCTATGACTGAAATTCATCAGATTTTATTTTTGCAGTTTGAGGTATCGGAAAGAGTTAGTCTACTGATTGGTTAGCGCGTGAGACTCTGGCAAAAAGGACACAGATCTGTACAGGTTCGAGCCCCAGACAGCCATCGTGCTAGTTCTTATCTCGGTTTCAGTAGTAGGAAGCAACTAGCCGTACTTCTTTTCCCTGGACACGATGTTTGGATAATCAAAGAATTACTACTCAGCGTTTCGTCAGGCTTTATTTTTTAAGNACCATACGATTATGGAAGTGTCATGCACTATGATTCGAGAGCCTTCAGCAGAAATGGACGGCCAACTATTGTTGCAAAGAAATCAGGGGTTTGTTGGAAGAAAATTTGTTTCTCTCAATAACTGGTTATGGGTCATGAAATTCGGTTATAGTTTGCCACACCTGCTGGTTGTATTAATTAACTGGTTATCAACTTATAGTTGTGATTAAATGAAACTGGTCAGAGATTAGCTGTAAGCGTAAAAATCTTTCCTTCATCAACTAACAGTACTTAAGGGTGCTAGATTTAATTGCTGTTCGATAAAAAATACCTTTGCACAATGCAAAATACAAATGTTTATTGGTGCAAAAAACTTGAAAAACATCTTACAGGTCTTAAATTAACCTCAGATCCGTATCAAACTCTGAACTTTTCAATGCATCTATGAATCAAATACAAGAAAAGCCCGGCCATTGTCCTGATCACTTGACAACAATTTCTTCAATTTGAGCGGCTCAGCTTTCTTTCCACCTGGCTTGGCTGAGTGTTTCATCTCTGCTACGGTTTTTTTAGGGCTTTGATTTAGACGCCGAACTTTTAATTTTCCCAACCAAATGCATACATTACCATAAAGTATTTTCATTTTACTGATCAGGATTTATATCGAGAATAACAATAATGGCTGATATAAGTCCGCGTCTGAATCGACCTGCGTACTATTTTCGAATTGGGTCGGTCCTAATTCGAATTATTTGAATTAAGTTCGTCTGGTGAACTGTATAGCTTGTATAGCTTGAATAAAATCTGAAGAACCTCGTTCAATTTGAAGATTGAAACTAGTTATCCTTGTATTTTTGCCTATAGCCAAAACACACGCATCTTAAGATGTTTACATAACGTGTTTTTTAGGCACCATATCCAAGTGATACACAGACTGTATGAATATCTGTAATTTCACGAAAACCTTTTTTTAGTTTTGATTTGAAGTGAAGTCTATTCTAGAAAGAGCTGACAGAATTCATCCTCCAATCTCCAATAAGTTACTTGATCTTCAAGGCTGCATAGTCTCAAAATCAGCTGCAAAAGCTGGCTTTTTCTTGTTTTGGCAGGTAACGCTTGGAAACCGCCGAGGCCTGAGCAAAATTGATATTCTTCAGATGAAACTGCCGTACAAATGTCAAGGAGGCGGCGGCAGACCAGACCCTCCCCTCCCTCCTCCTACGAATAAACCTCCAGGTTGGTGTATATAAGTAGAGCTGTTATCTTTCGACAAAATATATGTACAGCTTAAGGTCAAAAGAACGCGTCTTAATTACATCCTTTACTTCCATTATTTTCTTTCGTCCGAAATGTGCTGATATATAACCTACACATTTTTTGAAACTTTACAGCAGGAGACTTAGCTCCCTGTAACTTACCTGTGTATGACGTACAGCAGGCAAAGAAATCACTTTGATTATTATTATTTTTAATTTTAGGTGAATGTCGCGACACTCTAACTCCTAGTAACATTTAACTAATAACATTTATAGGTACCCATTTCTAGCCATCGATTAGTCTTGTACCCAGACCTACCACGGCCAAGCGGTTTAGTGCGAACGAAACTAGTCATCTATTTTAAAATTAACCTGGATTCAAAGGTTTTCCAAGTGACCCATTCTCATTAGTAAGCGTCACGTTTTCAGTTCGACCAGGAAATTAAAACTTCTGAATTATGTCTAAATAGCGCTCCTCACAGCAAGATATTCGAAGCAGGAAGAACATTGATAAGTGTTTAGGAATGTTAAAACTTTGTACGTCAGAACGTTTATATGAAATTTCTTCAGTTCACAACGACAACCTATCTAATCACACCGCTGTATTTAGGAAACGACTATGACGATAGCCATAGTCGTTTCCTAAATACAGATAGATACACGACTGCAGATAGTTTCCAAATATTTCCTAAATACAGATAGTTACACGACTGCAACCTGTGACCCGCTCAGATTATATGATGTGTGCATAAAACTCTTTTTCTTTGTCACGATAAGGTGCTTATACTTATTAGCGTTGAAAATGAAATGCTCAGACGACCAACCAGTTAAGCTTAGTAAGTCTCTTTGTAGTTGAACTGCGTCAGCATCGTTATCAATAACTCGATAACACTTCATATCATCCGCATAGAGTTGGACAGTAATTTAATTTTTAATTTAGTCCATTTTCACTGCATTAAGTTTTGCAGTGGGGAAGGACTAGAAAGGAACATAGGAACGGAAAGAGTTAGTCTACTGATTGGTTAGCGCGTGAGACTCTGGCAAAAAGGACACAGATCTGTACAGGTTCGAGCCCCAGAGACCCATCCTGCTTGTTCTTATCTCGGTTTCAGTAGTAGGAAGCAACTAGCCGTACTTCTTTTCCCTGGACACGATGTTTGGATAATCAAAGAATTACTACTCAGCGTTTCGTCAGGCTTTATTTTTTAAGTTTTATTGGCCGGTATGTCTTTGTATTCTTGGGAACAAGAATGGATGGAGAGATACGCCGTGAGTTAGATGTCTTTCCAAGGGAAACAAAACAGTGACCCGACCAGAGCTTGAACCGGCATCTTTTAATCCAGAGTACAGCCTACCTTCAAGAGCTTTTTCTTAGGAAAATCTAACTTTTCTTAGTTCAGAAACTGTGCTAACAAACGTTCGATTAATTTAGCATGTATTCACCAAGCAATCTACGGATGTGATTTCTTTAACTGAATGGCCCTCCTATGTTCAGGTGAATGCCGTGACACTGGCAAGTATTGTAGCTACCACGTCCCTCGAGGAGACTGTGAGAGAATGGATATTGTCAGGAAGAAATGTCAAAAGAGTTGCGGTCTATGTGGTGGAGGTAAGCGTACAAAATTATCATATAATTAGCAAGGAAACCCATGTCCATTCTTTGCATAAAAGAGCACTGTTTATTTCTTTGTTTATGGTACTGGGTAGCTAGATGATTCAAACCATGAAAACTTGTTTCGACAAGGGGGTTTACGTTGTTCATTTTTTTTCATTATTTTCCTTTTGTGACTCAGAGTTTAATAAATCGTAAAATGGGAAGTTAATAACAACAGTGAGGAATGAATGAGTGATTTTCTAGAAGAAAGATCCAGGAGGATTTCGCCCGTTTCACTCTGTAGACAGGTGCTATAAATCTTGGTTACCTACCTAACTCGTTCGAAAATTCCATCTCCTGTAAGAGCCCCCTGTTGGGCGCAAAATGATGTAAATAACCTAAATTTAATTTTCAATTAAAATAATTTCGATTATCCCGCTTCCAGTAGCTTCAATGGTGAACGAGGAACTATTTTTTTCCCTTTTCAATCTTTCAGGAACCCCACAACCACCAAACCCGGACACTGACATACCTCCACCCCCCTAACACAAATCAACCTCCTTCAGGTACGTTAAAGTAGCATTCCAAATTTTTATGACAGTTATTTCGTGTTAAATTATTCATATTAGTTTATCAATTTCTAACGATCAATCGGCGGAACTTTGTGATTAAAAAGATTCTTAGGGACGGTTGAAAGTCGATTAAAGTTTAGGTTACTTCTCACACCTTAGAAAAATCTGTTACTACTTCACAAACGTCGCCATGTCTTTTGCCTCTCCCAGGTTCTTGCGGTGTTGCCCCTCTCAGTAACAGCCGTGTAATTGGAGGAGACGAAGCTAATCCTGGTGCCTGGCCATGGCAGATTTGCAACATAAGAACCTATTCACAGACGTTCAGTTAGAAAACGTGGATGAACCCGCAGGCCCAAATATTTTCCTTCTTTGGCTTTGCTCTATCATCGCGCCCCGTTAATAAACAGAACGCCTGTTGTAGGTTAGCCCCTTAACAAACCTTGTCTTCCGTTTTGAACGTTTCTTTAAAAAGTTTTAACTGGTAGGTTATTTCTCGGTTTGTTACTTAAATTTAATTTATTTTATTTAATATTATGGCTTTTCTTGTTATATCACTAAATATAACAAGTTTATGAATAGAACTCTTCCCGCTCAATTTTGAGAAATTTAATCAATTTCTAAGTCACGAGTGAAACTTCCTCCCCTCACCGATATGTCCATACAAGCTCTCAAAGTTAGTGATAATGTGGCTGTCTTATAAAAGAAATGTGCATTTTACCGGATCAGTAGCATGTAATTATTTGCACTCATCAAGAGGGTAACTTGAATTAAAACAGCAACAACATCTGTTCTATCTTTTTTTCTTTGTTTCCTTCAGACTTTATTTTTACTTGATTAAGACCCCCTGCCTTCTACTCCACCGCTAATGTTGTTTATACTAACAACATCGCTGACTACATTTTATAAGTAGAAATGAAAACGTATAATATTATCTGCCCTTCTCGTAGAATTTTGTCGCTTCCCGAAAAACAACGTCGTGAACGGTGTTAGTTCCTGTCTTGTACACTTCCGTATACTGTACTGCAAGTTATCATAGGCTATTGTCAAAGAACATCGTTACTGTCTTGATATAAGGGTACTTTAAAGACGGCACGCTCAGAAAAGATTTTTCGTCGCTTCCTCTCTCGATCAAAATTAATTTCATGAGAGGGTTACGAAACAGTTTTAGCTTCGTTTAGGCAGTTCTTGTGACGGAATTGGCTGAAGATCAGCGGGAATACT